TTTTTTTTTTTGTCAACCCCCCCTGCCCCCTCTCCCCCGAAAAAAAATAATTTTTTTTCTATATTTTCAGTTTTAATTTTTTCATCTTTCGGTTTACGTGTTCGAAATTTTACAAGTTTCAAAGTTATGAGTTCAGATGTTTATGTGTTTTGGAAGTTTACACGTACCAAACACGAAAAATGAATAAGATTACTACTTATTTTTTAAAAAAATATTTTCTTAGGAAAATATTTTCCTGTGTACCAAACACACCCTTTGTGTTTCATTATGCAACACCAAAGAGCAGAATTTGTAGCTTTCCGCCCAATTATTCGACATATGTTTTTCCTCAAAGGGGAAACTTTTAAGGAGCCGTTTGGGCGTAAATTTCTTTTTGGTTTTTTTTTTTTCAAAAAATATTTTCAAGTCATTGTTTGGTTATTAAATTGAATTGAGTTTTTGAAATGTTCTTGAAGAAGAGTTTCCAGTTTGAAAAAGTATTTTTTTACCACTTTTTCAAGTAAAAAATTATTTCCCCTCACAGAACAACAATATTTTTCAAATGAAATGCATATCTAAATATTTTTGAAATTTCAAATACCATTTTTCAACTTAATTTTAAATTTTGCTTCTTTCAAAAATCAAGATTTTTATGTTTAAACGCCTACTAATATTTTTTGAGTGGATAAGCACTGGAGCAAGAGAATACTGTATATTGTCATCTGGAATCTACCAGATAAAAAAAAAACACATAGTATAATTTTCTAATGTTCAATTGGTTGATTTGTTGTCAATATCAACCGCTTGATTTTGATTTCTAATTTTGGCCTTTAGAATCCTTGAACAATTTTACCTAGTAGTTCCACCTGAGTATCATCAATCTAGGACATAAAACTTTTATATTTGATAACTTTAAAACTTTAAGTTTTTCGTTTTATTTTTATTGACATATATAACTCTTTTTTTCTCCTTAAATTTTTGTATATAGAGCCAAACACAATCATATAAAATAAAATAATTGTGTAATTCTTAACTTTAAAAGACGAGACTAGGAAAAGCTTGCATCAACTTATGCAAGTTGGCATGTCATTTGTCTACTTCCAGTTTTAAATAAACCCCAATTAGTGTATAGTTTATACATAAAGGTTTCATTAATTAGTCCAAGTGCTAATTATTATGGAGTAGTAAAGTAAAAGATTCTACAATCAGGTGAGGTGTGTCGTCCAATCCTTGATCTTGATTTTTCTTTAGCCTTTCTTTTTTATCCTCTAATTTTATTATTATCTGAATAATCTTAATTTCGAGAATATATGTAGATTGTAGAATACATGAAAGGTGACACTTCTTTTAAATTTGAGATAATATATAAAATGCATCCCAAACTTATCCCGATAATTGAGTTTCACACCCAACCTTTACGGGTATCCCACTACCATCTTATACTTCTTAGGATTGATTTTTTCTGCACCCTTGTAAGCCATCTTCCAGGCGGATTGTATCTAACTACAAAGGGGCGCGCTTATTGTTATTGTTTAATCGTGAAAACAAAAAAAAAAAAAAAAAAAAAAAAAAAAAAAAAAAAAAAAAATTATCAGCACTAATTACAACCCCCAACGGTAATATATTCCTCTTTCCTCTAATTTAATACCCGACTCACCTTATTACTTCTTCCACCATACCAACCTCACTAACCCTAATTTAATTTACTACCAAATCAGCCATAACTAACGTTCAAGATTCGATTTTTGAAGGCAAAGGTAGTTAATTTTTGGTTATTTGAGTTAAACTCCGTCTGTTTCTACTTAATTTTTACCTAATTTTTTTGTGTTTTCAACTGCAATTTTTGTATATAATGGCTTCGAAAAGGTTGAGTAGGCTTTGTACGGAAGAGGACGATCATGCATCTACTGAAGAAGTGCGAGGCAAGCATGGATATTTGCTGCCATTGTTGATTTCTTGGACCCCTAGGAATCCTGGTAGAAGGTATTGAGCTAGTCCATACTATGGGGTAAGTTGATTTAATTTTCAAGATTAAATAAGTTAAGATATCAAGAAATAGAACTCTAAAATACCAATTTTATTGTTATTCGTGATAGGGTGCTAGAGCATGTGATTTTTGGCGTTGGAGGGATGGAGAAATTGACCCTAGATCAAAGTTTGTTATTCCTAAATTGAAAGAAGAGATTGGAAAACTTGAGAGCCAAGTTGAAGTTTTTGAAAAACTAGATAATCTGATGGCAGCAAAGAAGGATAAACATGAGATTGGTAAGATAGGCATTCAACTAGATTACTTGAAAACTGAAATGGAGAAGATGAAAGAAAGGAAGAAGAAATGGAGGAGCAAAGTTGTTCGATCAAGGAAAAGGGAGAAGGTTCTTTGGTTTATCATTTTATGTTGTTTAATTATCGGTGTTAGTACTAGGTTTCAAGTGAATGAGGATGATTTGAAGTTGCCATAGGCTCTTTGTTTCTCTTTTTGTTGTACTACAATCTTTATATTGAACCTTGTTGGTATATGATACAAATCAATGTAGGTGAATCATTATTATATTATGTACTATCTCTTTTTGGAATAAAGTTGGTGGTTGTTCTAATTCTAAATTGTTTTGTTCAGCATATTGAATCCTTGAAATGTATTGAAAGAAACTGAATATATAGTGACAACTCCTAATAGAAAGATAACATAAGTGCAGTCAATAATCACGTTTAAAATAGTCACTGCTGCTTCTTAATAACAACATTCATTAGTCATAGAATACTAAATATTGTAGTCATAGTTGCAAACACTAAAGATTGCATAATTGCACCAATCATAGCTGCTAACTCAAAACATCGCAGTCACAGCTGCCAATACAAAATATTGCAGTCACAACTACTAATACAAAACATTGCAGTCACAGCTGCTAATACAAAATATTGCAGTCACAGCTACTAATAGACTGCCAAAGTATAGAAAATATTCCTAAGGTTTCCAAGGTTGTGAGGACTGTGTAGTGGAGCTTCCTTGACTTAACTGTGCAGCTCTTGACCCCTTTTTTCCTATAATATAATGGAGTTGTCTTTGTGTCACTGTTTTTCCTTTTCACTTTACTCCAATTGATAGTCTATGCCCAATATCTCCAGTGACATCTACTGAAGATATAATATTTCTGGGCCTACTTGAAGGCATTCCAAGCTATTAAAGAAAGATACTATTTGTTAGTCTAAACAAATAGTATCACTTATTTGATATACAAAAGGTAATAAGAGGCCTTACATTAAAGATGGTGTAGCCAATTTCTGTATGAATCACCCCCTATTCTAACCACTTTTGGTCTTTTGTAGGGCCTTGTCTCATTGGTAGAACCTTTTGGTCTACCCCTTCCTCTTCCAGTTTTTGGTGTTGCAGTAGACATAGAACTGCCCCTTGGTACTGTACTAGTTGTTGCATTTGCAGCTCCACTTGCTGCTCCACTTGCTGCTGCAGTTGAAGCTGCTGCCTTAGTCTTATGACACCCTCTCTTATTATGGCCTTTCTCATTACATGCTCGACATGATATCTCCAGTCCTCTCCTAGACAGCTTACCTGTCTTGTTTTCAGTTTGCTCTTTTCTTCTAACTTTCTTTGGCCTCCCTGCATCTTTCTGACTGTTGGTAGAATAACAGATACATTCTGTAAGTCTGGCCACATTGACATATTAAAGGCATGTTGAATGAAATGGTTGTACACTTTCAAGTAAGTCTCTTCGGTATATCAGTGAGCAACATAGTTAATTGGCTCCAGCTTTTTGAAGTGAAGGGCAGCTACTGCATGAGCAGATGGTATGCCTTTTAGCATCCAAGATCTGCAACTGCATGTCATGGTTTGTAGAGAAACCAAATGTTTCAGATATTCAGTTTCTTTCACTTTATATCCTATGTCTCTATTCCACATAATATCATACTTCATTGACTTGACTGTGTTGTCTTGTAAAACTTTTAATGCCATTGGTGAGATATCACAGATCCAACCATTAAATTCTCTCAGTTGCCCAATCCTATTCATTATTTTCACTCTGATTTCATCAAGCATTGTTATAATTATCTTGTGTCTTGGATCTAATATCCAGGAGTTGAAGCTTTCAGCCATATTGTTGTCCATACTATCGCAGTTGCTGAAGAACTTGAAGTACACCTTAGACCACCTTTCTTTGTTATACCACAACAAGTCATCAATGATTCCTTTACCACCTAATCTTTCCATGAAGTCAAGATTCTTTTTCAATTCTGCCTCATAAGTACTTCTGGCACACCTCCAAAAATAATTTTTTCTTTCAATGCCTCTCCACTTCTTGGACCAATTTGCTAGGATGTGTCTAGCACACATCCTATGTTCACAGTTTGGCAGTACTTCATCCATTTCTTAATACAATCCCTATATAGAAGAACAGAAGAAAATGAAATAACATATGAGTAAGACTTATGGAAGCAACAGAAAAAAATAAACACAAAGATAACATAAGAATAAAATAAAGAACATAATACTAACCTTCTACATGTCTGTTATGAATGTGAAATTTGCCCCATCTCTAAGTTCAATGTCATCCTTCAACAGCCTTAAAAGCCAGGTCCAATTAAACTTATTCTCAACCTCAACCACTGCCCAAGCTAGAGGCAGCATCTGGTTGTTACCATCTTTACAGACATCGACAAGCAATTGCCCCTTGCAAACACTCTTTAAGAAGCAATCATCCAATCCAATACAGGGCCTACAACTAGCCTTGAAGGCCTTTTTCAATGCATCAAAACAGATGTAGAAGCCAACAAATATTTTCTTACCACCTTCAAATGTCTCTTCACTTAGTTTAACAACACATGTACTACCAGGATTAGACCTAAGCATTTCATCTCTATAGTCTAAAATTCTACTATACTCCAGCACATGCACCCATTATATCATTCAAAACCTTATTCCTTGCTTTCCTACAAATTGATCTCCCAACATACAAACCTAATTCTTTTCTTACGGTCTGCTGAAACTTGAATATCCTAATGTTAGGTTGCTCTCTTATTCTGTCTTTGAATTTCTCAAGCAAGTACTTACTGTTGCACAATTTGTTATTGTTAGTAGGTTAACATGTGTGTATTGGAATGTACTTCTTCACAACAAAGTATTTAGTCTTAGAGTCATAGCTAGCAAACAGATGCCAAGGACAATCATCCTTGCACTTACACCTCACCCTTGTTAGTTGATTAACATATTTATCCATATCAATTTTTTCTTCAACAGCAAATCTAGTAAGAGCTTCTCTAAACTTGCCAACACTCTTAAATGCAAGACCAAGCTCCCACACAATTTTCTTATAGTTTGGATCAAATATCACTCTTTTTTTAATCTTTCTTATTCTTGGGTTTCCTTTGATTAACCTCTCCCTCTCCTTCATCATCATCACCATCATCATCTATATCTGTTTCAAAGCTGGCAGCCTCATCAGAATGATAATATGGCTCATCACCTCCTATTTTACCCTCCAAAGGATTCCTTTGTCCTGACTATCTCCTAGCTTCATACTCATCATAACCCACATCTATTGTTTCTTTACCTAATTTAATACCCTCAGCTGCAGGAACTCTAACATTCCTCTTTTTTCTCTTCTTAGTTCTTCTTTCCTCCCTAAATGACCTATACTCATGTATATCACTACCATAACCTCCTCCCCTTCTTCAAATAACTCTACATGATCTGAATCTAAGCTATTCTTAGTACTAAAACCATCTTGAGATTCAGTAGGTTCAGATGGCCCAGCAGGTTCATTAGGGGCAGTAGGTTCGGGGGGATAGTAAGTTCGGGGGTGGGGGGAGGGCAGTAGTATCAAAAGGAGCACTTAGTTCAGTAGGGGCACTAGTGGATGCCTCTTCATATGTGCCCAAACCCTCACTTCCCCCAAGGTCTTGACCAAATTCTAAGAGAGGGGGGACTACTACTGGTTCATCAACCATGTGCTCCACAAATACATCCAAGATATCCCCATTTTTTAATACTTCACAAATACCCATAATGTCCCTATCCACTTTAATTTCTAAATCAGGACAACAAGGTGGCCTTACATAAATATGAGCGGGAGAAGGATTATAGCCAAAGTCTTTAACATAACCTAGAAATTTAAAATAGGAGAACCTATCTACATCAATGTCAAGTACAGAAGTAATAACTCCACCTATATAATCCTCCTCCGTCAAGGAGTTTAGCTTATCCATGGAGATTTTTCCTCCAAGGAAGAATCTTACTGTGACTAATTCAACAGATATTTTAAATCCAACGCAAAGTAGATATATAACTATATCAGACCAGTATCTACCAAATCAAACCACATGCAACAACATATTCAGTACTATTACTGTAGCAGTGACGAAGAAAATCCTAGAGCTCAAAATAACATAAAGGCGACGAACAACGCTAACCTTTAAAAAGCATAAGTTTTGTCCAAAATCCAAATCGAAGAAAGATCGTAGAATCAATGACTGATAACAGTGACTGAACCCCTTTCCTTGCAACTCGAACAAATCCAACAACTCGTCAAAACCTAAAATCTCAGTGAAATATAACGATATTTTGAGGTTCTAACTAGGTTTAATCAAAGAAATATTCATCTTATCCCTTTAATTTTAGTCGGAAAGAATGAATTTCAGACGAATTTAAGATTAGGGCTTTTTCGTCGACTTGGAAATTTTTTACGGGGCGGGTGAAATGAATTGATAAGGAAAATTTGAGATCATGTAGAGTAACTGTCTAGTTTCTCTAGTATTTGTTTCCACTTGTTTTGTCTTTGTCATGCAATGTGCAATTGTAGGATCTGATTCTATCACTGTTATCTCATCTGATTTGTTAACATCTTCTGCTAACTGCCCAATGTGGTATACTGCTGCTGCAAATAGGAATCTTATGATCTCTCCAACTGATTTTTTGTTATCCCTTCTCTGAGATAGCCATACAACTTCATCCTCCCACTGATGTAATTGCATGTTAATGTTCATCCATTTCAATAGTTTGCCCTAGATCTCCTTAGAGTATGACATTCAAAGAACAAGTGGTTATGTATCTCAGCTGTTCCTGCAGAGCATAAGACACATGAATGTGGTACTTAAATTCCCCAACTTAGTAATCTATCAGTTGTTGCAAGTCGTTTCTGAACTGCCATCCATAGTATGAAAAAGTGTCTAGGAATTAGTCCTTTGCTCATCACCAAGGACCTCCATATCACCTTTTGGTATTGTGGCACACTAGCAATATATGCTTTCCTTATTATAAATTTGTCATCAGAGACATACGAATTCAACTCTACAACTCTAATTATTAGCCAATTCCGAGCATCAAACACTTTCCTCACTACCCATGAGGCTTGTTTTGGAGTAGGTACATTGTCTAGATCCTTGCCTTTTATGTAGTATATGTGTAAATATGTCATCATATACATTTGAATTCAACTCTACAACTCCAATTGTTAGCCAATTCCGAGCATCAAACACTTTCCTCACTACCCATGAAGCTTGTTTTGGAGTAGGTACATTGTCT